CTGATCATGAGGCTTTACGGTTTATTTATCATCCTTAGCACGTGCCTCAGCTGCTATGGTTCAACGATGGAGTATTGCTTTGAGTGCCTATGACTATACGGTTCAGCACAGGAGTGCCAATTTACGTAATCCGCATAGAGGATGAATATTACGCCGAATTTGTGTAGAGAACAGTTTAAGGAGGCTATGAAATGAATAAATGTTGATTCGACAGAATGCTTTTGGCAGCCTATTCTAGAGAGTTGTTAAGCAAGAGATGAAGAAAGGTGACTTGTGTCTGCTTGATGTTCACAATATATTTAGAACAGTCTCCTCATTTTTGGGATGAAAATCTAATGTTGTTTGCGATTACTCATATGTCGATATATGCTTTGTTTTTATTACATATAATTTTTCAAATTAAGGTCGGGTTAAGTATTATATGCCTTAGCCATAAAAAACCCGGTTCCCATGTTTCACATTTGTTTGTATAATATAGGACGGAGGTGAAAGGTTTCGTAAATTAGACTTGCACATTCCTGACTTTCAGTCAGCCTAGAAGATATCAAACACAATACTTGTGGATAACAATTGAGGATTGCTTCAAATTATAAACTAAGATCAATGAATCAAATAAACTAATAGGCTCTCAAGAATTCGGTTAAACTTGTTCAGTGAATGAAAGAATATAGGAATATTTCACTGCAAATCGTAAATGACACTAAGTTCTTTCGGTATTAAGAGTGTATTGGAACGCTTCTACGAAGAAAATACGATTTATGAAAAATAAACATTATTGTACTCGTTTTATCTAACTGTACCAAAAACACTTCTTTCACTTCTCGCGCGCAACGTTCTCTTCACCTTGCTGCCATTTTTCTAAATGCTCTGCTCCCCATGTAATGCCAACGTTCTCCTTCAATAAAATGCTCAACCGTGGATTTACTTTATCTTAAAGACGGGACCGTAAGGAACATTTGGTGGTGAGCATAGTCAATCTGATATCTTGACTCGCTCACTACGAATGGTGAGCCAACATTTCTTCAAAAGATGTCAATTACGGTGAGTCCATTATTCATCTATCACCATTCTTATAATGTTGCAATACTATTAGTAATGTCTTCAATATAATCATACTTGTAACAACGTTTCGAAATGGTAGATAGCTATAATAATAGACTCCGACGTGCAGGTCATTGCAATCTCACCTGTCTCCTCCCCTTCACTTCAGGTTGTTAGTTTATTTTACGCGCTTGGTTTTTTCACTAAAGCTAGGTGTTAAATTATAATTTACTCTTGCAGTCCGCTCCAATTCGAATAGTGTAGGTTTATACGCGTCCCGCCCAGTCCAAGTCCAAAAACGATAATTCTGGGAGAGAACGGTTCTGTATTTAATAAAAAGGGGAAATTCAGACGATTACCAAAACAATATTACACCTTCGAGTTTCCAATTACCACAATAGGTTCCGTTGCTGGAAGAATAAGTGCTTCCAGGTCAGTTACTGCTAGAGTACCAAATCCAAATATGGCTGTGGCCATATTAAGTACCAAATTTAAACAACATATGTATAGTTTAGAAGGAAACAAAAACTTCAATATAAGTACAAGATATAGAAATAATAGCAATATACAAATGATAAAATCTCAAAATGGAATCAAATAGAGTACCAAAATATCAACAGAAAGAGTCAGTCATATCATAACACAAATATTCGCATCTACGCAGATAGTCGTTGGACGTTATTTGATATACACAAGACCGCGTCTCCGAAACGCGCATACAATATCCGAGAACAATCATCATTTTCATTTCACCTAGTGCAGATAGAGGCACAACACTTTTTACGTTTCTTGTTTCTGATAGCTTTGATGCTGCCTCCGGTTTCCTCACCGGAGTAGATATATTATTGAGTCCTAGGTCAGAACTAGCCATCCTAGACTGGATTCTGATTGACAGTCGCTTAAGTGCTGTCTGACTAAACGGGACGTTACGGAGTCGGTAAGATAAAGAAACTCGCCATTGCCTCTTAGTTGTCTCCACCTACGCTATGACTGTCTACAGTCCAGACGAAATGAAATATGGTGATGGTGTTTCGTTCTCTGAGCTGGATGTTTTGGTCTTTGAGCTGTCAGTGTTCTTCTCAAAGACATCATCATCACAAACTTCAGGTAGAAGTGAAGCATTCGAATTTCTCCACGTTTGACCTGTAGCTTGTTCTGCTAACCTCGGTCTTGATTGGTTGTTTTTGACCTTAAACCTGTCGTTGTTTTCACATTTGTTTTGATTGTATCACCTTTTTGATCTGTTTATTGATCCTATGTCCCCTATGATTTTTCTGAGTGGTTGATAAATTGGGTCAATGTTCATTGATTGCTGACTGACCTGAGTGCCAAGCTTCTAAAAATTCTCTAGTGTTCTTTGTCCTCCCTATATCCAGTATTTCCACATTGTCCCAATCGAATGTATGTCCATAATTGTCGGTATGTATTGATATAAGCGAAGAGTTGTCGTGACCTTTGACTGCTAATTGGTGTTCACGTAAACGAAGCTGGAGAGGCCGACCACTTTGTCCTATGTAGTGTTTTTCAGTCTGAGCAATTTATTTTGTAGATGGTACTTGGCTTTTCTTCCTTTGTCACTTTGTCCTTTAGTCTACATAGGATAGATTGAAGTGATTCTGTTGGTTTGTGTGCCACACCTATTCCAAACGGTTTCAGTAGTCATGCTGTGTTCCGATATGTCTTTTATGTATTGTAGGATGATCCGGATCATCCTGCTGAAATAGGTAGACTAGGTGCAAAGAATAGACACCTTTGTGGATCTTATGGTGTCGCATCTAACAGAACAGAAAATGACGACCCTTTCTAGTAAATATGCTCAGACAACGGCCTATTTCTAGCAGACACTGACTTCGGGTATGAGGAAAAACATCTCCTGACCTGGCGACCGAAAAAGCTGACCCAACGATGGACGCAAGTAGATCACAGACATCAACCACCGATGGAGAGGTTCGATAGATGACGGTCGCTCGTTCTGGGGCACATGCTTAGACTGAGATCGTGCCTTAGTGCGAGCGCGTATTTATTTGCGACTTACCGGGTGTAGGAAAGACACCTTAACAGAACCTCTTAGGGTTCTACCTAATGATAGCAGAGCTATGCATATATTTCAGGAACAACTAGAAAAACAGTCAGGGGACCATTTGAGTGATTCCCATCCGGAGGCAGGTTGGAATGGTATCAAAACGGCTGTTGAAACAGCAATGATATCTGCTAGTAAGGTAAACCATAAGGTTAGGGAGAAGCCGTGGATCTCAGTAGCATCAACCGAACTGAAAGACGCTCATAAATTCATCCCACCTGTCTCTGAACACGGTGAAGATGGAAGTCAGCTTAGGCGCAGGCCGATAAAAAGCCTACTCAATGATCGTGAACAATGGTAGGTAGCGATGGAAAAGGTAATGGTGATAGGAAACAGTAGACAATTGTTCAAGCTTATCAAGGGAAACGGTCTTAGGAACCCCAATGTGAGTGAGACTACTTTGGAGAAGGATGGTCTTAATATTCATTCTCAATAGAGGAGATTGGATCTGTGTACAGAACACTTCAGGAATCAGTTCAATTTGTCTTCAGCGACTCTTCGGTTGCCCAAGATATCAAATCATCCTGAATGGCAGATCGACGCAAGTCCTTCGAGAAAGTTATACGAAATTTAAGGCGAGGGATCGCAGTGGGTCTTGATATATTGACCTCTAAAGTTCTTAAGGATGTCGGACCAGATCTAGTAGTTGTACTGGAATCAAAATAACTAATACAGTTTCTAAATTGTTAGCCTCGATTATCCTTAGACACCTAACTAGAGCTAGTGTAAAGCAGACTAGAGAAAACTAGGCTGGTTTCAGAGTTGGATGTGGCTGTATAGACCACACTTTTACACTACGACTGATCCTGGAACACAGAAACACATAGGTGTCCGATAATATTCGTCTCCCTGGACCTTCAAGCAGCATTTGACTCTGTTGTTTGCGAAGTTCTGTGACGGAGCCTGTCATTAAAAGGTGTAGCAAAGAAGTACATTGACTTTATACAAGCTCCTTACTCAAACACCATTAGTCAAGGGAGAGCTTATGGCGAACTGTCATCAGAAGAGATTATTTTAAGTGGTATCCAGCAGGGATGTTTACAACGTCTTCACACCTCGGCTTCTTAACAGAGACAAAAATCTATTGGATCGAGTGCAGGGAGGAGCAACGCAAAGGGTGATAGGGTTAAAAAATAGAACTTACGAAGTTAGACTCCAGCATCTGGGATTACTCCCCTTAGATTACAGCTTAGAATGATTTCCCAACCTGGGTGACCTTAGCCCCCTCAGTGGACAGCTTTAAGAAGAGACTCAAAAAACTCATAGTCATATGTTGTGAGTCAGCTGTGACTGATGCATATCTCAAGACTTGCTAATTTTTATTACTGCCATCTCCTTAGATCACTTAACTTAATCCATCTCACTGGTTATCTATGTTTACTCTTCATAGCTTACACTTTGGTCCTCTCACACAATCTTCACTACCAATTTATGAACTAAATTATCAATTTATTTACGTAGTTCTGAAATTGTGGTGGTGTTTCGTTATCCGAGCTGGACGTTTTTGGTTCCGAAATCTTATACTTATGAGCATTAGGAATTTTCTACTTATTATTATCCACATTGCGAATAACTGATCTCCGGCCTGGTAATGTGATAGCTTATGGTAGCCAGAAAGCCTAGTGCCCTGAAACATATGTATTCATTCAAATCACGGGACATACATACAAACAACTTCCAACTGATTAGAATAAGACAGTCGAGTAACTAGACCCCCAATCACTGGAACACTACCAAACATCTGAAACCGTACCGAAAGAACAAGAATCAAGCGCAAATAAACCAATTAGTTTATACTAGCTCGTGGAAAAGTTATTGGATATTGGAAGCGACATATGTGGCTTTCGATACTTTGAACAGTATGTCAAATCGTTTTGAGGTTGGTTTGCGTTTCATTATTTACCAAGTCGAAAATAGGTGTTCGCAATCACGTTATTCGGAAAACAATTTTCAATTAGTACGCTCCTGTAAGAACAGACTTATTTTTCGAACTTAATGTATGGTATGATTTTGTTGGGTGAACTGAAATATTTTGGATAACTGACGTAAATGTAAGCATATGATTAAACTCTATTCCATCATATGTCCATTAGAGTTGTACCGTTGATTCTCCATAGTTTTCAAACTCTTACCTAGCACTATAAATGGTAAAATCCCTATCTACCGAATTTGGGGAAATTTTTGGAAAAGCCTTAATGGTGTCCTAAATTGGGCCTAACATCCTCTATATTTATGAAGGCTTTTGGGCTTCTTTATTGGATTTTGTTGGTTTTTTCCTAAAGTTATTTGCAGATTTTGGAGAATTCTAGGTCTCTCCAATATCACTGGAGATTTGTGGGTTTTTGGCTGCATTTAATTATAGTTTACAATAAATAACTCCCAAAGTCGATCAAATCCTACCCTGAACTTTGGAGATGGGTACTTAGAGAACCTAATAATTAGTCATAGACGAGTGGGCTAATTTACAAACCCGTTGCTTCTGATTTTGTCTTGATGAATGAACTTTTCAGGTTCAGAACTAAAGGTAAGGAAGGAGAGTTTTCTAATCCAAAGTTAATTCCAATTTTGTAAGAAAACAGTCCTCTCCAATAACCATCATACTAACTTGGGGAGTCACTAGTTATAATCTATTTGCTCTTGCTTTATAAACTAGGCTCTCGGGAGGACTGAAAAAACAGAAAATTCATTCCTAAAATTGTGTAAAAATGAATAGTTATTGTATGGTAGTCAGACAAAATCATTCGGTTGCTCAGCCATATAACTGTTTGTCACAATGCTTTTGTCACTTTCAAATTCTCCTGCTTTCTACACTGAAAATTCCTAAATTATACTAAAAGTTATTCAGAGCCCGTAACTATTAGCTCGCTCAAATGAAATACTTCCGTTTCTTTATTCATTATTCAGTCTTTTCTGCATATTAAACCTTGTCGTTTATTCTTCTTTCCCATTAAAATGTGAAGACATTTCGAAATCAGTTGCGTTACTGACTCTAGCTCTTGCTCAAAACCGCCTTCTGTTTATATTTTGGCATCACTAGTCCTTATATGGTTGTCTCATGATTTTGAAGTTGCATTCATCTTTATTACCATTAAAATGTTATGGAAGTATGAGTCATTTGGGCTTACATTCGTGAAATATTTATGTACTCACTCTTCATTCTCTAATAACTAAGAAAAGCATCCTTCGTATATATATACAACTTCGAGTCAAAATAAATACGCGCCACATAATGGAAAAAACTGAATTGTGAAGAAATAAGGTGAGCATAAATATCAGCAAAGTTTATACAGGAATAGGTGGACGACAGTAAAAGATAATGGGGGGGGGGGGGTTCAGATGATTTAAGAAAACTACAACTAGGAAGAATTCTCACTTTTAAAGCAAAGTGGACAAGTATATCAGGATCTTTGTTGCCTCTTATTCTGAGCCATGTCTGAAAGTATCTCAAGCCACCGGCCTGAATCATCTCCAGGATTCAGACAAAGAATTTATGAAGGACTGACAGATATCACTCTTGTCATAAACCAACCAGTCTCAGCGTCGGTAAATGATACGCCACACAAAGTTAGCTGGAACGACATCCCTATCCAAGCCAACGAAGTTGGTGTTTCATCATAGCGGTACCAATTGAATCATTACTTTACTGGAATGAACATTGCAGAACCTGGTGCATTACTGACATAGTGTTCCTATTGAATTTCAGCATTCCTTCACTATTCGTAGACTGATCTCACCAATCCCACAGCCAGTGCATATAGCTACTACTATTCGACTTCTAATTGTTCACTACCATAGGTGGATGAAAGCAAGAACTCGTGCCACTCTTGTAAAAGTAATATGTATTTAGGTGGGAAAAAGCACATGCCGTACCACCTACGGATACTAACTACCAGGTGTAGACTACATGGCTTGATTACTATTGCGCAATAACACAGTGTCATCCGCTTACTCAAGATCGAAGTCTTGCTTCATGTAGCTTATCTACATTAACATTTCGTAGTCCCATCAAAACCGTTTTCAGAATATCATAGAATTCAAAGCTAATGGGTGATGAAATTTGGGAAACCGACCCAACCTCACTGCTTAAGTAGAACATTAGAAAAAAGCATATCTTCACTCTTCCCGAGTTGTTTGTATGTAAATCCTTCTAGGTGTCAATAAACTCCTTATACACATCTTTCTTCATCACACAATCGTGCTGAACAGCCCTATCCAACAAATTGGAGGCGTTCATGCTATCAGGAAACAACGATTGTTGGCCTGCAATAAGTATGGTGGTGTCCCAACATTTATCATAGAGTGATGTATTCAATGCGTTATTGACCAGAACGAAAACCAGCCTGATCCTTTAGCGTCAATCTTCCCTGGGTTTTGAACAATCTGAGAAGTACGACGGAAGCTAATAATTTGTACGTAGCCGGAAGGAGACTCACCTCTAATAGTTGTTGCGTAGGTGACGTGAGCAAGTAGAAACTCATTTCACGATGTTGGAACTCGATTTGTTAACTGTGATATTTGTCACATTTGTCAAATTCTTCGAAGGCTCATGTAATTCATGTCACATAAAGTCCCTTGTGCAATGTGCTTAAACCGTGGTAAAATGAAAATTAAGATTTAGTGAATCAGGTATCAATAAATGAATGTAGAGGAATTATCACTATGGGATTTGATTTGACATTTGCGTCTCTGTGCTAATGTGGTATGGCAACATGAACTTATGTACATACGTACGAAGTTCTACGTTGCAACTGACTGACTGAATGAATGTAGAAGAACCTGGTTATTCCACGCGTGATTCGACAAAAACATGTCTGGTTATCACTGTTAACCAAAGGTTGAGTGTACTGCGCCCTAGTTCACTCCGTTCTACTGTATGGATGCGAAACGGCCAGTCAGAGTAGAAAATTCGTAATTTACTGGTATTTGATCATAGATGTCTTCGAAGCATTGCTGCCTCGACGAGCGGTGTTTTGTGGTGTATGAGTAATTTGGAAGAAAGCTAAGGGCGGCCAAACCAAAACATGGCAGAAATCCATGAGGTCACTGACAAGTGGACTGAGTCATGTTGGTAGATGCAGACTACCTGGTTGGGGTCCGCGAGACGATAGTAACCGATGGTTAGGGACCTTGAACGACATAGCTCAAAATCTTTTGCAATGGCGCTGGTGCATCAGCTGTCCTCGTTGTGTCCTCTCAAATTCTAACCTTCTGAATTCGTCATCACCTCTACCTTTCTCCTTCTAAACTTATCTCACTGAATTATACTTCCTGAACAATATCTTCGAATCCTAATCTTCTCCATTACCAGTAATACTTCTGCTATCTCTTCCACTATTGGATTTGAATTGACAATTGCGTCTTTGTGCAAATGTGGTATGGCAACCTGAACTAATGTACTTACGGATGAAGTTCCACGTTGTAACTGACTGGTTATCACGGAGATCACATTTAATCAGACATAATAGACCAGTAATATTCCCTAACTTCATTTATGTACCGAAACAGTTGACACTGGTTATCCAAGTGGCAAGAAATCCATGACTTAGCAGTGTATCAAAGAAGCGTGATACACGTGTTCTGGACACTAATAGTCTGGCTAATTTACCTGCTCAATGGCAACTGTATGTTTTATTGCATCAACTGCCGTCATATTTTATATTGTTTATAGAAGTTGCGAAAAGAAACTACATAGTATGTTGTAGGTTACTGGTTGTGATCTTTTATCAACATGTCTTGAGTAGAATGTTGATTTATTGTTTTTACGATAACTTTTCACAAGACTCAATCTAATAACTCATTACATTCGTTGATAGTGTGTCAGTCCACCTGCAGACCAAAGCATTGATCGCACAATTACAACAAAATTTTTTTTTATTCAACCAAACAATAAATGTGCTTGCATAAACCGTTCGAGACAAAGTAAACATAACTATAAATTAATCGGGTAACTTGGAATATTTAAAGTGGTTTACTTCCACTGTCTCGAGTCATCGTGTACATTTATTTCAGGTTGTTACAAAAGATCCCAAACCCCTTTTCTATGATATTGCACTATGTAACATTTAATTGTTGAGTTACTGTTTGTTGCTGATGACTCCTATTAGAGACCAATATACTTTGGTTTTTTTCGTCTTGTCTACCAGTTATAATTTGTAATCATATTCACATCTATTCTCACTGTAATTTATCGAGGGGATGACTTAAAACAAACCAACGAGAAATACTTTTTACGCACCTTCCTCCATATTTCAGACAACTAATTTTCATAATGAAGAGCCTCAGTGCATTTAAGCGCGGATCTTGTTATCTACATCCAAAGTGAAGTTCATGGAGGAGGAGTTTTCTGCAGTTATCAAGGAATATCAGTCTGTTTTAGAGTCAGTGGATAAAAAGCTCGCATCAATCGTTGCCGATGACCGATTCCTTAATGACCTTATTCAGAAATCAGAACAAGAAGAAGGTGAATCTGTACATCTACCATCCAATAAAGAAGTGATGAACACTATAGAAGTTCACTTTGGGCGAGTAAGTCTCCCTATTTCCGTAATATACCTGTTTTGTCGCAAAATAATCGTTTTCAATATAAATGTGTTTCAGTTTCCTTATTGTTGTAAGTTTTGAACTACATATTCTACTTAAGTGTACTCATAAAATTTAAGACGACAACTAAGTGATTTCTGGGTAACTGAGGATCTATCAGAGTAACTTTTAGTGGTTAAACCACATAATGAATAGTTCACTGTACAGGTCTGTTTGTGGAGTATTATGGGTGAGTTCCACATATGCGTTTGGAGCTTATCAATAAAAAAATATGATACTAGGGTTCATCGAAATCGTGTAATTGGAACCAAATCTCTATTCGCGGTTAACTGTTAACATTAGCAAGATCTGAGTTGTAATTCTATTATTAGGTACTATATAATCTATCGACCTTTTAACCAAATGTTTCGCCTCATCTACGATCCGATTATTATAGTTAGTCTACCCTTTTTATTCCAACCACCTAGTAAATTGACATTATTATCAGTTGTAAAGTTGCAATGTTATGCAATACTACCGCTTGTTTGGTTATCATATTCAATACACATACATATTATACAGTGCACAATGCATGATGATGCAGAGCCATAATGAAGTATTTCTATTTGCTCTTTACTCATTCATTTAAATAGGCAAGATAATTCTTTTAAATTTGGTTTGATATATTTTGCTGAGTTTCATAGAAGATGTTACAGGGGAAAAATCACCCCAAAACTATTTCAGTAGTCTAACAAAACTTATTTTTTCATTGGCAAATTATATTTAATAAGTAAGCTTGCGTGTCGTCCTTCAGTATGAGTGGATTCAAATTATGCAGATAACGGTTCCAGTTCTAATTACATCGGTAGCAAATATATGAGTGTTTGGATGGGATTGCTAGACTTTCTCGAAGGTTGAGAACAAATGCTTAATTTCCCACATATGATCACAAGCGTGAAACCTTGATTTTTTTTGTACAAAGTGTGCATAGAATATATGTTAAAAGAAATGTTTACTGAGTCACAGTAGCTACTCTCCTAAACATTTAAATTTGTCACTTCACATCTGTCGGTTACACGTTTCAATAAAAAGAAACTACAAAGTTTTCGTAAAACCATGAAAATCTATACCAGTATATTCACGTTTGTTTTAGTGTATTCATTTATCTTATTTGTTTTCGCAGGCTATGCGTCTAACGTTATTGAGAGGAGATGGTGTAAGATTACCTCTAGTAGTTCCTGTTGATTCCCGTGTTTTGGAATTGCGATGGGCAGTACAGGATGCAGTTACATCGTATATGTACCATCTCCGTAGTATATCACAGTTGCCAAAAGATAAACTTAAAGGAGATGCCGCTGACTATATTCCACTCAACAGTATTCCTCCTAAATTGATTAGCTGGCGTTCCTTATGGAGAACAAAATGCTTAGCTCTGGTGAACCCACACAGTTTGTGTCCACCAGAAGGCTTCCCATCCATTAGTGCTAGACTAGAAGTTTTAACTGATAAGTTATCGGATTATCAAATTCGTAATGGTGCAGTGATCACTTTTGCTCCTCGACTTAAGCGAAAGTGAACATCGTGTTATTTTTAAATCACTGAAATATATTTAACTTTTATATGCTTTGAATATTTGTACTTTCGAAAGTGTAAATAACATGATCCTCATGAGCTACTTTCGAAGTTCTTTTCTCCATCAACCCTTCTTTATTTTTGCCAAATTACCAATGCGTTTGTTAGACGTCAGCCAATTAACTTAACCATCAAGGTATCAACTGAAGGGACTTGTGATTTTAATTGATCAAATATTTGGGACAGAAGATGGTCTGACGACCATACTTCAACTGAAAGTAACATCCTTTCGCGGTTCTTCGGTCTACTTGAGTATAAAAAGCCAGCATCGGAATTTAGATGACCTAGTCAACAACTCCAAACTTCCACCCAATACAGATCCGTCTTGACATTTATATTGAAAATTCTGACTTTGGTATTGGTTGATATTTGTTT